CCAGTCCTTTATCACCTTAAACGAAATTGGGTGAATACATCTCATATTACTGATTTACTGGTAGTCTCGATACAATACTTAAATGCGAAAAATATGATCATGCTGTTATTCGTGTTCAGAAATAAGTTTACAATTAATTATAAAAATGTTTGATTTTAATCATTTTTTACAAATATATAGTTTATTTACATTTTGTATATTTTTCATATCCTTGGGGCATAATTACTATTTGCATTTTACCCTTTACTTTAGCGCTTATTTTGGTTACGAGTCATGAATCTCGTGCTTTCTCCGCTTCTATTCATTCTCCTTACTGCCCTTTTTCCAAATTTTTCATTTTCTTTCAAGCTTAGCGATTCTAAATTACTCTTTCCTTATTATACGTATTCACCTGTTAATTATACCATCAGTGGTTCAGATGGAACATGCTATGAATGGTCTTCTGGGACCCCTGAGATCGTTACAGTCTCTCCAGTAGGTAAAGATGCTTGTTCTAACAAAGCATCTCTCACTGCTTTATGGCAATCACCCCATAGGGCGACTGCAACTATATATGCAAAAAATCCAGGTAATTTCCTATTTTAGTTACCTTTAGTTACCGGACATGTGGTAAAGTGTGATGTAATTGTTGATAATATTCACCGGATCGAAATAGGCACCACCACACAGGAACTATATTTGCACAATACCCCGGAGGCTTTAGTTGTTGTTGGATATGATGAATTTGGGAATACCTTCTCCAGCCTGGATGGCATCCCATTTGAATGGAAGATTCATGGTATCGGGCCCTCTGACAGTGGCCATAGTGTTCTTCGTTTCTTGACATGGACAGAATCAGAGTACACTACACCAAGCCGCATAGGAAAATTGGAATCAGAAGGCATGCAGGTATCTCCTTATTTGTTTTAATGTTACAGGGCTTCATGCAACTTGTTAGTGGTCTTCGAACTGGTTCTGCCGTTGTTAGTGTTTCTTTGCGCGAATCTGTCTATTCAAATGTCCAACCCGCCACTGTCCGTCTATTAGTAATGGCAAACGCTAAACTCACACCCCCTTTAGCATACCTTATGCCCTATGCTAGATTGCCTTTCCGGGTTCGCGTGATTCAATTAGGGAATGAACAAGGTATTTGGTTATATTTCTCTACTATCGTTTCTAGAAGTGCCGATGCCGTCCAAACAATACCATCTTCAGGTTAACAATACAGAACTAGCTAAGCTCACTACTAACGACGGATGCATTTTAACTGCCCTTCGCATAGGCCAGACAACCGTTACTCTGCTTGACATAAGTGAGCCATTGTTCTAATTATCGTGAATTTCATTTTAATTATCTACCTGATTTTATCCATTGTTTTAAAAGATGTTGAAGACGCTCTTTATCATGTCCGCGAGAACTTGGGAAAAGGAAAGGCATCGCTCACCGGTGTAGTCGATGAAGGCCTGTTATCTTATTCCCGTCGACCTACTTCCTTGGTATATATCGTGGAGCCTGCCTATCTTACATTTACAGTAAAATCGATAACCGATGTAACGGACAATTATTGTCGTCGTGCTCATCGCATTCTTGTTGGCCATGATAGATCTTCCTCGCAAATTGAAGGTGCTGTTCCCAAATCTCAAAAATGGGTCCTTGAAGTCGGACAAGTTTATAAAATTAGGCTTGATGTATTTGATCAGAATAGTCACCGAATTTTTCCGTCTGATAATCAACGTATCAATTTTAACTTTTCGGTGGATGCATTTGAGGTATATTTAACCTCAAGTTACCCTTAAATACAAAATTTGTTTTGAGTAACTTTGTTCCTTTTGTAGCTTTTAGGAAAGACTCTGAATGGATCGATTCACCTTATTCGACCACTTTACGCTGGCGTGTTTAAATTCACTGCTCAACTAATGGGAATACTCGACGTCGATTCTGGAGCCCTGAGGCCCTTCTCTATGCCTCTTTTGGGGACCCAAGAATTAACAGTCCATGACTCCATTAGGATTTTTCCTTCGCATGTTTTACTACCTTGGCAGCCTCGTAGAGCCTTACAGACCTCTTCATTGGACGAGGTGTCTTACGGCTACCCCCTCACTGCCGTGGGTGGCAGTGGAGATTATGTCTGGAGTGACTTGACTCCTTTGCCCCTCGAAAGTGCTGATCTAAAAGGGCCTTTTTTAGATCATCATAGCAACACAGCTGATGATTTCATCACTTCCTCT